TGTTTCTTTTACGACAGCTTCGATGTATGGGAGGCGTATGATATGAATGGGGCCATGGACCAAGAGAGGGCGTTTGTCGACAAAGACAAGGTCAAGGACATGGAAAAGAGCAGCAGGCCTTAATGCGGGGAGGGGTATAGAACTTGTTTTTGGGAGAAGCATCGCCAAAGCATCTAGATTTTTCATGGGGCACATTTGGTACAACTAGACGGATACGACACGACGCATTTCTTGTAGCGTACGCGGTAAGTAGTCTCTAATGTATAATCAACCGCGTCTCGACTCTGGGGCTTGTGGCTGGGTTGAGTCAGCATGTGCAATGGCGATGCAGACGCACTGCCCATGGCACCGCCAACGCTTTTGCATCCGTCATGGACGCGCGCAGAAAGCTTCGAGTATTTTTGGCGAAAAGGCGGGCGGGATCAGCTAGAGCGGGGGCCGGGCGGCGGCCTGGTTGGAATGTGAAACAAGCCGTCTGCCGTTGACAAGGGAGATCAGTGGCAGGCGTGCGTCATGGCAGAAACAAGGCGTCGTCAGAAGGACGAGTCGAAGCGGAGAAGCAAGCAAGAGTGTATGCACGACGAAGAAAGGGAGCACAAGCAGACTGAGGGTTGTTGCGAGTGCCGAGCATGGTGCAGGCGACTATTGGGGGCCATGGTGTGGTCGTCAGGCTCGACAGGCAGCGACCCTGCAGGCGGGCGAAAGGAGTCGCTGGCTGGGGCCACGATGCCAAGCCGCCTGGGGTGCGGGCGAGGCAGTGAGACCGGCCATGGCTGCTCAGCGTGGGATTAAAGCCCCGATGACAGCAGAAACAAAAAAGACGGATGGCATGGCGCAGAGGTGACAATGACAGAAGCCAAGGGCCGTGTCGAGCTGCCGCACACAGGCCCTTGACGGTGCCGGCGCGAGGGCGAGCCATCATGGCCAGCGACAGGAGGCGCAGGCTGTCAAAGGTAAACGAGGACATGCAGCAGCCAAGTATATCGCCGCCATGTGCGAGCGGCGGCCTGCTGGAACGCGGGCAGACCAGACAACGGCGACGCAGCGAAAAAGCACCATGCAGCGGGAGGGCGAGGCCGGCAGTTTAGTTTAGATGACCTTCTTGGGGCGCTGTCCACTTGCCCTGCGTCGTGCATCCACCGCGAAAGGGGAGTTTGGGTGAGCTCCTGTCAGCCGTTGGGCACATGGCGACTAGGCCCAGCCCGGCTAGCCGCCCAACAGCCTGGCCAATCAGGCCGCCGCCCACCGGGCCTGCCGGGACTTGTCTCTGATGGCGCTCCCGAAGGCAAAGGCACACAATCCCCCCCCTTGACTCTCACGCCTGTCTCTGACAACACCCGTGTACCTTTGCGAAAAAGCAGCGCGGGAGGGCGGCCACCCTTCGATCCCACGCCCATCCTCCCCCTCACCTCAGTCATTCGTTTCAGCATTCCAGCAACGCAGCTCGCTGCACCTAATATCACACACCCACCCCCCTGGACCCCGACTCCACGTCCCTACTTCACCGCGCGCCAAGCATCCCTCGCCGGCAGCTCCTTCCCGCCTACGCCTCGCACTTTCCACGCGTGCAACAACGACCGGCCGGCCGCATCGTCGCCTCAGCCACCCGCCTGCAAACAACGTCGCCATCCCCATCGCCGTCAACTCCATCACCTCCACCTTCACCACTCCCGTAATTATCATCACCACCACCACCACCACCACACGTCGTCTCGTGCCCATGCCGAACCGGGCCGCCTCCCTCTGCTGAACCCATCTGCCGACACTCGCATACCACCCTGCATTATTTCCGTCCATCGCGCCACCCACTGCTGCCATGAGGGATTCATTCGCTGCCCTCGTGCGCACAGGGGCTGGCAAGCTCGCCCTTTCGCTGCTGCTCGCCTCTCCCACGACAGCAATCACCTTCAACACCGTCCCCGCCCCTCCGCTAAGTCTCGGCGACTTGGGCCGCATAGCTTTTACTGGCGACTTTGACTCAATATCGCTATACCAGTACCAAGGCCAGAGCCAGCAATACCCCGGTCGCAATGGCGCTCTGCTCTCCCGTTACCCGAATGGCGTCTTTGCTACCATCAACGTTACCGATGCCGACATCAAGGCCATGTGCACCCTGCCCATCAATGGCACCGAACGAGTCGTCTTCGCCGGCAACTTTACAGGCGTCGGCAACATGCCCACCCCGGGAGGCATTGCCCTGCTTGATCCCACAACCGGCAACGTACAGGCACTCGAGGGCCTAAGTGGGTCCGTGAATGCCCTCTACTGCGACCAACAAGGCGGACGCGTCTATGTTGGCGGTAGTCTTTCGGGTGCCAACTCGACAAACGCCCTGGTTTGGAAGGACGGCTGGGAGGATCTCTCGTTCCATGGCTTCAACGGCCCCATTCATTCCATCGCCCGTGCCTCTAACGGCAACATTGTATTTGGAGGCGAGTTCAACGGCCTGGGCGGCAATGCCTCGACTGTGTCGAGCAAGAACAACACCCAGGTGATTCCCGTCTCCAATGCACGCATCTCGGCACAGACCAGCTCCGGTATCAACGGCTTCACAGACCCCAACAACATTGCTTGCAAGACCGACTACACAACACAGGGCACCGGCTCTACCTGGCTCATGGCCGACCGCGCCAATGGT